CGGTGAGCGCCTGGATCTCTCCCGGGGTCCCGCGCTCTTACCAGTGCGCCCTGGGCGCGCGAGGCGCACGAAACTCCGGCTGCGCGGGCAGATCCCCAGTCCGTGGGGTGGACCCCTCACCGTGATTGCTGCGCCCTCGCACCGCAGTCTGAATGGCACCTGTGGCCACGTTTTGATGGTGTGATTCTGAAGAACGAATCCCAAAGGGGTCGCTAGTGCACGGGAAATGCGTCCTCTTTGCTCCCTCCCACCCTACCCCCACCCGCCACCCCCTCGCTGGCCCCTTCTAGGTACCTACGTAAGAGGAGCCGGGGTCCTGGGTACCGCAGCCTCGTGGTGCCTGATCGCCGGTGCCTGTGGAGTGTTAGGTGCCTTGGGCAAGTGCAATGTGGGCCTTTGGTGGGTGGTCGTGGAGCAAGCCTCTCCGGGATGAGTCTGGAGAGGGGGCAGCTTGACCAGCTATGACTGCCAGTTCTTTGGTCATTCAGAGACATCCCCCGCCTGACCCGTCGGTGGTGGGTGGAGCTCTGTAGGCAATGTTCTCAGCTGGTCTCCCCGCCCACCCCAAACACACACTTTCCTTCCAACAGTCTCTGATTTAGATACCACTCATAATCTCTGCGGTCTTAAGTGAGGGAGTGAGGGGATTCAATCAAGCCTACAGGTAGCCACAAAAGCGCAGAGGGAAGCCCTGCGTGTGTAGAATTTGACTGAGAGCTGAGCCAGGAAACCAACAGGGACATCCTATCGGTTTATTGTCTGGTCTGAATGTAGACTCTGTTGTGTCAGATTTTTCCTTCCCAGGCCCCCAAGAGAATTTGGAATTTCAGGATTTTGCAAATAATCTGTTAGATTAAATAAAGCAAAGCAAAAGCGAAAGGGCTGGTCAAACAGAACAGGTCTCGAACTGAATACAGCCTGCTGGGCTGTCAGGGGTGTGGCTGGAGTAGATTTCCACTCAGGACTCCTAGTGCCCATATGAAGCACAGACCCCCAAACCCTGCCTGGCCCTGCCTGCACCATCCTCACCATCCTTGCTATTCTGGAGGCCAGGGGCGCAGCCACTGTGTCCCTCCATCTCCTTGAAAGGTTTCCTCTTCTTTTTTTTTTTTAATAGCCTCTCTACTAAGTATCAAAGTCCTCCTGGTTTACCAATCTATAACGCCTGGGTAGGTGATCTCAGAACGTCATTAGATAGTGACTGGTTCTGTGGGGCTGCCTTCCTCATTTTAGGTGGAACTAACTCCATCCCTCTTCTCCATCTTCGGCCTCTCCACAAACATGGGCAAAGCAAGGAGATCCAAGCTGGCTGCTCTCCTCACAGGGTGGAGCCATGCTTGGGCTGGTGCCTTGGACAGAGGAACTTCCAGTTACAGAGGCAGACGGAGGCTCTGCTGTTTGAGTAGGGGTGGTGGCGGTGGCTGGCAGCCACCTCCATGCCTGGGCACACTCTTTAAAACGCCTTTCAAAGATCTGGTGCATCTGTGCCAATTTCAACGAGGTTTCCCTACTCTGATGAGGCCAGTAGACATGTGTGACCCTCTGGCATTTGGCCTTTTTGCAGACATCCTCGGGAACAGAGGTATGGTGATGGCACTTCCACTCGAATCTGGAAACCCATCAGTGCCATTCGAATAACTCAAAGTCCTGACCATTTTCAGCAGGGCAGGGCCCGTGCTTGGGGATGAACATGCAGGCCCCATGGGGACATTGAGTCCTTTGGGAAATAGGTGACAAATGCCAGAGGAAGTTATCTTTGTTTGGGTGCCCCCCAAAGCAGCTGTTGGTTGCAGAGAGTTTATTAGGGAGATGATTTCAGGAAACACAAAGGAGAGCAAGGGGAGGGAGTTGATGCCAGTTCAAGGTGCATTAATTAATACGCAGGGCAACTGAGCATCTGAGAACCCCTGTGGAACATGCCCCATGCAGAAAAGGTAGGCTGGGACACTGATCCACAGGTACATACCCTCCCCCGTGAAATCCATCATGTTCCAAAGACTGCACATTTTCATTGCTTCGAGGTGTGGCGTGGCTGTGTGGTGTGGCTGTGTCTGGAGAGAGGCAGAAACTTCAGGCCTTGGGATGGGAAGCTGTCAGGGTGCTGGGGACAGCACCTGAAGCGGGGCAGCGGAGCCATGGGCCGAGCAATCCATCTCTCGCTAGTTATAAGAGGCTCCATCTCACATTAGTTTTAAGAGGCGAGCAAGGGAAGGCTAACATGAGGCCTTTGAGACTCACCAGAGAAACCTGGGGTGGGGTGGGATTTTGAGAGGAGCTGGATATTTTGTGTTACATAGTTAGAGGCAGGAGTCCTTGAGTGGTGTCAATGGTCAATGAACAAAGCAGCTCACCGAAAAGTTGCAGGTTCCAGTCCACTCAGAGGTGCCGCAGAAGAACCTGGTAATCTACTTCCAAAACAACCACAGTAAGTCAGCCATGGAAAACCGTAGAGAACACAGTTCTTCTTTGACACACATGGGGGTGACCAAGAGTCAAAATTGCCTTGACAGCAACTGGGTGCTGGTTTTATATCGTCTTCCACGGTCTCCTTTTGCAAATAACAAGAGAGCTTCAAAAAGTTTGTGGGGAAATGGAATGAAAAGATAAGTCCCCAACCCCCCCCCCCCAAACATGCACAGAGCCCTTCCTCAGTCTCTCATGCACAGTTGCTGAGTAGTGTGTGTGTTGGTAAATGTCCTAATGATGGGCCACATTGGCTTAATATTTTCAAACTATGCCTGTTAAATTATGGAGTGGGTGACTTTTCATTTTGAGCTGTTATAGCACCAACATTTTTCACGAAAATGAGTGATAAAAGGGTGGAAAACTTGAGGGAACCAGAAACACAAGACAGTCCTGTCAAGATTTGGCTCTCCAGGTTCATCATTGCTTCTTCTTCTTTTACATTATTTTTATTAATCATTTTATTGGGGTCTCTTACAGATTTCACAACACTCCATAGTTCAATCACGTCAAGCAATATTGTTCAATTGCTACCACAATACGTTTCAAAAATATTTTCTTTCTTCTTGAACACCTTGATATCAGCTCCCTTTTATCACTTCCCTCCTCTCCCCTCCCCTCCAGGAACCATTATCATTATGATTATTATTGTATATCTTACACCAACCAATATATCCATTCACATACCATTCTGTTGCTGGCCGCACTTAACTTCACAGGTTTTGCATGTTGCCAGTCAACTGCCAGCAAGTCTGTGCGAATTCACAGTGACCCTACAGGACAGGGAGGAACCGCCCTGGTGAGTTTCAGAGACTGTAACTCTTTACAGGCAGAGGAAGCCCTGTCTTTCTCTCTTGGAATGGCAGGCAATTTCTAATGGACAACCTAGCGGACTGCAGCCCAACTTGAAGAAGGCATGCTATCTCAGAAACACCATCGAGGTGCAATGCATCACTTTCATATGGCTTTTCTAACCGTGGACTTCTAACTCTCACCCATTGATAGGCTGGGCCACAATCTTGCAAGGGGTTGGTCCATCTGCTATGGAAATAAATGGAAGCTTGAAAACCCACCCAAAGAAATTGTGTCCCTTGGTCAGCTTTGCTCTCGGCTAGGCTTATCTAAGGGTCAATCCTGTAAAGGTTTGGAGTGGAGTGTGTCATTTGGACCCAAGATCCCTGTACTGAGAACCACTT